GGTCTGGCTTGAGTCTTCTAACTCTCCCATGAAACCTGTGTGTCAGTCAAATCACCTGATTCTCTCACTTATTCCGAACACACCTAGCACTTCCTCATCTCCAGCATTTTTCTCCTGTCCTGCCTTATCTTGCTCATCAGTAGAAAAGCACCACAATCCTCACCTGAGACTGACAAACAAGGGAAAATGCCACCCCAGGCTCAGAAGAGCTGTTTCTCCTTTCCTTAGAAGTGATTACAAAAACTGACTTAATACGAAGATAACTTGTGAGTATTTCTGCCTTCATTTTACATCTGTCTTCTGCCTCCTAAAAGGAAAAAAACCTGGTCTCCAAATACCATCCTGGCACACAGAAGGCTAAGAATCTGCATAAATATTTGCTTTATTAGATTTAAGTGAGGCTAACTGAGCTCAGCAGAATTTAACTTTACTTTTATTACATCAGGTTAATTTTATTGAATTTATTGGAAAGGCGGTCATTAGCAAAAGGATGTGGGCCAGCATTCAAAATGCCCACCTCAGGCTTCCCACATGACCTTGATCACATCACTTAACCCATAGGATCTTGAAGTAGGACCTACCAGACACCATGATACACATTATTTCCACTTCCCAAATCAAAAGCAAAGGAAAGAGAACGATACTTGGAGATTTCCAAACATCCGGATACTATTTTTGGAAATCAATGACTTTTCCATTCACTTTTCTTGGAGAAAAAAAAAAGAGAAGGAAAGGAAATGAAAGATATTTAACTAAGAAGCAATTGTTGACAATATAAATGGAAGTGAGAGAAGATTCTGATGGCCTTAAAAGCCAGACATTCCCTGATACAACCATTAGCTATAATCTTAAAAACATGAGCCAGGTGTGGCTCATGCCCATAGTTCTAGTGCTCAGGATGTTAACATAGGAAGATGGTAAATTCAAGGCCCGCCTGGGCTACATAGTGAGGTCCTGTCTCAGGGGGAGAAGAAAAGAAAAAAATGAAAAGTGGAGAACTCATTAATTTTTTGAGAAAGCTCAAGCGCAATAGTTCATATAATCCAGAAACAGACTCTGTGGAGTAAATATAGTCAAACTCTTATTAAATAATGCTGGACCAAGGTTCCAAGAAGGTAGCAGGTAGTTGTCCGGTTTCTGTTCCAACCTGGCAAATTCCAGAGCCACAGACTGTTTTCTCCTTAAAGAAAAGCCTAGAGTCAAATACTCCCATCTCTTAGGCATGTAATAAATTATGTGTGCTCTTTTTCCTACTTAAAAACAAAAATGTGTTCACAAGATTTTCATATACCACAGAATTTTTCCATTTGGTGAAGGGTCAAATCTCTTTTAGTCAACAAATAGGTCCTCAAAAGCTCATGCCATACTATAATCTTGGTGGTCCACCACCATTATGATTATTTACACTCTGCTTTGATCTCAAATGTGATTTTTCACAGTGTTCTTCAAATGCCTTGAGCTGGATTGCCAGTATCATACAACTCCAACTGAGCTACAGGAAACAAAACATCCAGTTTCAAAGACTGAATCCCTCTACAGAAGAATTCAAAAAAACCCTGCAGGAAGCATGTATATACGCAACTGTTGTAAGCACTGAATATTTTTTAAGGCAAATATTTCCTTCCCATATTTTCTATCCAATGAATACTTTTTTATAAGGTGGCCATTGAACTCTGAGTTAATACTTGTGGAATATATGCATACCACTACACACACACACACACACACACACACACACGACTTATGCAAGGAAACTTTCAGACATCATAGAAATGGCAAATTGACTTTGCAAAAGAGTTTTTTTAACATAATTCACAGTAATATTAATATGGAAAGTATATTCATAGTATTAGTCTATTAAAATTAGTTTAAACCTAAAGAAAGCTCATAACCAAGGTAAAAAGTTATGTTTATAGAACACTGAGATTTTTTTGACGCATCTGTAGTAAATACATCTGTAAAGATGTTTCCCTAAGCTTTGTGTTCTTAATGTAACTTTCAAAATTAGAGTTTCAATAAAGGGAAACATGGTTCTGTGTGCCTAGAATCCCAGTATTCAGGGACAGAGGAAGGAGGATCTTAAGTTCCAAGCCAGGCTAGGCTATGAGACCTCATCTCAAAAAAACAAACAAGCAAACAACAACAAAAAAAAAACTAAGAGTTGGCAATATCAAATGTTGTTAAACATAACACTGAACAGAATTACTGTAACACTCTAGAAGAGATTTTGTTTATATCCCTTGGCTCTTGGTTATTTAGCTTACAGCAGCATATTTCATACAATTCTCATTTTGACTAAATTACATATGAAATAATGTTTAAAATCAACAATTTTACCTAACTTACTGTATTCATTTATTCCTTCCATAATTTTATTTTCTTTAAACACTTTTTTTTTGCCTCTTTCCTGTGAGCTATTTGGAAGCTAGCTGTTTGGTGAAAGTTCACCTTTCTTCAACACCATTTTCCAGTGTTATGAATCAAACAAGATTCAAAACGGGATTTAACTGTCAGATGTACTCGGAGCAAATACTGCACTCTGCCATACAGTCCTGTCCATATAATAAAAGTTAATTACTACTTTAAAGGGTTCTCAGTCACCTATAAAAGTCAGCAAAGTTGTGTTTTGAAAGAGGAAGAATGACTATTACACCCTTCAGCCGACTCCACTGAAATGTTTGTGGCTTGCTGAACATTCCATACATATTTCGGGCAAGGTATTATGGGAGCTGAAGTTCAAGCTGTCCCCAGCTGAATTTTCACTCACTATAAAAACAATGTCTCATAAAACTACACACATGTTTTTACTTTACAAAAAATGTAAAATATCTACTTTTGTTCACTCAATCAACACTTAACATTAGAAGCAGGACTTTGGGGGAGGAGGGAACCTGCAAGCTAAGTAATGTCTGAAAAGAGTGAAAAATGTTATTCAGTAACAGATTTCGGGGGGGGGGGGGTGGCAAAAGAACATAAGCAATGTATATGAAATACATGGAAACCAAGAACCTATAGATTTCTATAGGGTCTTGTGCACGTATGTCACAGGTTATACCATTAAAACAAAAATACATTTATATCTTTCACAATGAATCCCCCCTTTCATTATGCTCACAACTGTTTCATATTACCCTCATACATTGAGCCATACCCTTTCTCTAAGCAAAATTCTTTGTTTTGGGAGACAGGATCTTCCTATGTAGCTCAGGCTGGCCATGGGATTGAGACTGTCCTGCCTCAGCCTCCCAAGGGATCACAGGCCTGTGCCACCACACCAGGCTCAAACACTATTTTAGTTGGTTTATTTTTCACTGGGGGGGGGGGGGGTTTCAACGTGCAGTACAAAGGAGTGCCACATTCCAAGTAGTACTTTCTACCAATTCCAGAACCATTCAGGTTTGATCAAACAGATGTGGCTCTCACATTTGGTTAAAATTATATGATGTCACCTGATTTTCAAAATAACTAAGCAGCTTTTTTAATCCATGAAATTGTTCTAGGATTTATATAAGTTTCAGAGTTCAGAGATTCGCAAAGGTTCCAAGAACATGGGGGAACCATGATCCCTTTGTTTGGTCTTGTTTTTCCCCATCTAAACCCATAGAAATCTTCAAACAAGTTAGCTTCCCTCCACAAAAGTTTATTTTCAAACTCCAGTGCCTTGCTGCCTGCCTTTCCTGTGTAGGTGGGAGGAAGCAGGCACAATGTCACCACACTGGGCCTTTTCAAGTCTTGAAATTGCTAGGAAGCTTGCAGTATTTCCTTTTTGGCACTGGGGCCAGAGTGGAGAGAAGAGGCTCTGAAAAGGACAAGATATCAAATAACCAATGGAAACACTTGCTTTCCACAGAATCCTTAATTCTACAAAAACTACATCTCTCCAAAAAGTAGCTAAACCATTGGGTCCAGCAGACAATCAAGCAAAAAAGAAAAAAAAGAAAACCGTTCTTCCATGAAATTAATTAAACGAAATCTGGTAGTGTTTTTTACAAGACTCTGTTGTTACTGGATCTGATTTATTTACATGAGTAATAAGACAACTCTGTCCCATGCATATCTTGCACTAAGAGGAAAGTTAAAATACAACTCTTGTTTTTCACTTACTCCAAAAGCATATGGGACTAATCATATCCCATTCTGGCCACAGTACACAAGGCTATTTCAAACAGATTTTTACCTCACTTGATTTTTAAGGCGCTAGAGTAATCAAGAGAGTTTGGGAACAGTCTCTCCCGGCTCCAGGGATGGGAATCCCTTTAGTGCCAGTCTGGCACTAGGCTTTGGATGGAAACCAGGCTCAGCCCGCCAGCCAAGGAACCCACACCCCAAAGCTGGGGCGCATGTTTGTGATCCAAGGTGACAGCGCATCTTGCCACAGTGGGGGCCGGGAAGGCTGGCCCGCCTGGAGCCGGGACGGCGGGCCATAAAGGCCGCGAGTAGGCATGGGCGAGGCCACCGCAGCAGAAGGAAAAGCGGGTCATCCGTCAAGCCTCGGGAGAGGAAATTCCAGGGGCCCAACTCCCAGGCCCTGGACAGCGGGTGACGCGAGGAAACCGACTCAGAGCGTCCGCCCCGCGACCGGAGAGCGGGCGGAGGCCAGCCCGAGCTGCGCGCTCTGGGAACCCGAGGCCCGGAGAGCGGGAGCTTCCATCCTCGGCCCGAGCCCTGGAAGTAGTGTGGGAGCGGAGCGAGGCTCGGCTTCTCGTCCCAACCCCAACTGCGCACACGAACACGCACACGCGCACACGCACGCACACACGAACTCGGCGCAGACACGCGAGGCTGGAGACGCCACGACCATCGCCCGGACCGCGGGGCTCCAGACGAGTCTCCGCTGCGGGAATGAAAGCACCCCGACAGTAGAGCTCATCCTGGCCCCGAGGCTTCGGGGCAGGGGCAGCCCTGGGTTCCCGGTGGCCCGGAGCCGAACTGGGCGCGGCGCCAGCGCATCCCCGGCACCCGCGCCGGATCCCGCAGCCTCCGCCGGCCGGCCCCCTTACCGATCTCGAGGGTCGATCCACGACGTCTGGCGCGTGTTGTGGTCGATGTAGAAGACGCGTCCATCATAGTCGCGCGCCTCCTCCCAGCCGGCGGGCAGCGGCAGCTCGGAGCTCTCCCTGGCCCGCGACGGCGGCGGTACTGAGGGCACCGAGGGCGCGGGGACCACCGCGGGGGACGCCACCGGGGCTTCTAACCGCTGGGGCTGCGCGGGCGGCGGTGGCTCCCGCGGGGCCTCCCGCGTCTGTCCCCGCCGTCGCCGCCTGCCGCCACTCAACCACGGCATGACGGCGCGGGCCCCGCCGCCGGCGCCCGGCCGCCCCGCGCGCGCCGCCTCCTCAGCCAGCACTAAGGCCGGGTGCCCAGGGCGCGGGGGCGGCCGCGGGGAGCCTCCCGCCGCACCCGGCGCATCCTCTGCTGGGCGCCCTCGCACCGGCGCCCTCCGGATCTTGTGCGCCGCTGTCTGCGCCGCCTGCAATGTCTGGATGGCCCGGGTGGCTGCCGCGCACCAGGTCACAGTCTCACAGCCCGAGCTGCAGCCGCCGCTACCGCTACCGGCGACCACTTCACTCCTGAGGCCCGTCCGCGTCCGGCCATCTTCGCTCCTCCGCGCAGCCGGGTCTGGAGGGCGGGGCCGCCAGAGGCCCCGCCCCCTCCCTGTGGGCTCCACCCCTACTCGCTGCAACTCGTTCAATCTCTCCCCAAGGCTCCGCCTCCACGCTAGGCCCCGGCTTTGGCCTGATCTCCCCGCCCCTAACTCCGCCTCCCTCTTCCCCGCCTTTTCTCGCAGTGGATCCTCCTGGCTCGCCGCTCCGCCTCCACGCTCCCACGGGAGCTCCTCCTCCATTCTCAGCTACTCTGCCCCACCCCCCCACGCCCGCCGGCGGCTCCTCCCCTGCCTTGGTGCTCCGGCTCCGCGAGCGAGCGAGCTCCTCCTTCTTCCCTCCTGCTCCACTACCTCCTCCGGCCTTGGGAAACCGCAAGGGGGCCAGGATGGGCGCCGCCACGTCAGTCCGCCCCCAGGCCACCGCAGAAAGAAAGAAAGGCCAGGAGGACGACGCTCCACCCGGGTTCTGGCGCCACCGGCTTGGGGCTGACTCTTGAAGTCCAAACAATTCTCGCGGGAGAAGGCAGTCACCTCACTTCACCTGCTCGCCAACTCTGGACATCTAGGGTCCTCCCCTCTGCGTATGGAGGGGTGGAGGCTGTGCCTTCAGCCTCTTGAATATCCAAGCTGCTGCGCAAAAGTGGGCCGAGCCCCCACGGGGAGGCCAGGCCGGCCGAGGAGCAGGCGGGACCCGCGCGCCCCTCCCGCGCTGGGGCCAGCGGCAAGAGCACACCTGCGAGCCAGCGAGCGCGCAGGTGGCCTCTGTGCATCCCTTCCACGAGAGCCGCAGAGGGCCCACGGGGCAGGGGGTCCACACTCTTGTCCCAAGCACCCTCCACCACCACCACCCCGCCCCCAGAGTTCTTCATCCAGTTTGTGAGATCTGAGCACAACCCCAAGAAGACCACTGCTGGGGGAGAAGCCTGGGCATCTCCGAGAACTTGAAACTTAGATGCTGACTTGGGTCCTGAGCACATCCCAAGCCCCAGGTTCCCTGCCAGTGCGTGCTCCAGCCCAGCGCCGTCAGACCTTATGCCAGGAAATTCAGGAAGGTGTCAGGGAGGTTTAAAAACACTGTTCCAAGATTTAAAAACAAAATTGCTAATAAAGTCCAACAGGGATCCAAATCCAGATACACAGGGGAAGAGACTCGAGCAAAATGTCTCCAAATGCTCACCGTAGGTCATACTCCTTCAGCAGGATTTTTTTAACCTTCCCTTTTTTTTTTTTTTTTTTTTGGTAAAATGCTACTGTTGTGTAAGAAGAATTGTTTCTAAAAAGAAGAGTGTGAAGTTACAGAGACTGGCGGGTTCCTCCCCAAGAAAAGTCTTTGTCCTCACTTCCCACTACAATACTACAACTTCCTTGCTCCCCAGTTACTCTCTGTTCCTCCTACACGCTGAACATCTGTCCTATGCTAGGAATTCCATCACTTGGGGATTTTATCTAACCATGAACAATTATTAGGGGTTAAGAGAAAAGTGGGGAGGGTTATAAATGCAAACTCAGTGGGCCCTCTATACCTTGGGTTCTGTATTCCCGAATTTGACCAACCAAGAATAGAAAATGTTAGGTTGTTAGGAAGCAGCAGTGACAAATGCCCCATAATACTAGCTACTTGGTAGGCTGTGATCCAGAGGATCTCTGTTCAAAGTGAGCCAGGGAAGAAAAGTCCTAAAGACTCCATCTCCAAAACTAAGCAGCAAAAAGCCAGGCTGGAGGCATTATTCAAGTGGTAGACACAGAGTCAAGCAAGTTCAAAGCCCTGAATTCAAACCACCACCAAAAAGCTGACATTGTTCATGGTATGTGCTATGTAGTTAAGGAACAATGTTTTTGTCCATACAGACATGCACAGATTTTGGGCTGGGAAGGTGGCTCAGTGGTAGAGCACTTGCCTTGCATGCATGAGGCCGTGGGTTCCATTCCTCAGCACCACATAAGCAGAAAAAAGCCGGAAGTGGTGCTGTGGCCCAAGTGGTAGAGTGCTAGCCTTGAGCTGAAGAGCTGAGGGACAGCGTCCAGGCCCAGAGTTCAGGCCCACAACCAGACCCCCCCCCCAAAAAAAAAGACATGCACAGATTTCTTGTGTTTGTGTGTGTGAGAGAGAGAGACAGAGACAGAGACAGACAGACAGAGAATGTGTGAAAGAGAGTATACTGGCGCTTGAACTCAGAGTCTCATGTACAGATTTCTGGCCATTGTTCCCTAAACAATACAGTCTAATAACTTTTTGGGGGGGGGGTCCTGTCATGGGGCCTGAACTCTGGGCCTGGGCGCTGTCCCTCAGCTCTTCAGCTCAAAGCTAGCGCTCTATCACTTGAGCCACAGCACCACTTCCGGCTTTTTTCTTTTTGCTTATGTGGTGCTGAGGAATCGAACCCAGGGCCTCAGGCATGCAAGGCAAGCGCTCTACCACTGAGCCACCTTCCAAGCCTCTACAGTCTAATAACTTTATATAGCACTAACATTAAGTACTCTAGAGATAATTTAAAGTATACAAGAGAATTGCATAGGTTCATGCAAATCCCACGCCATTTCCTATAAGGGTCTTGAGCACCTAAGGATTTTTGGAGAGGACAGTGTTCTAGAACAAATCTCCCCTCCTCCCTCACCCTCAGGACACAGAAGAACAACTGTACTTTGTGATGTCCAATCCTATCAGGAGATAAAAGAAGCAAGTGTTTGGCCAGCAGTGGGACAATGGACTCACTCTGCAGGCCCCAAATATGGGCTGTGGACGTTGTGCTGGGTGTCACAATGCTGCAAGGCACAGGCAGGATAGTCTCTGCTTCAACAGTCCTGCCTAGGGGACTAAACAGAGAAATAGGCAGTTGCAATACAATGAAGTGAAGGTGGCAGCATCTGGTTGAGGGCTCAGGGGAGGTTTGAGAGACTGAAGAGAAGATAACTTCAATGGGAACACTAAGGCTTTCGTCTTCAGATTCCTGGACTCTGAGCTCTTGCCTCTTGGTACATGGGGCAGCTGTGTAGCAGATTTGTTTAGCAGACGCTGCAGTGGTCAGTCCCATTCGTCCTCACGGAGATCGGCTCTTTTCTCCAAAGGATACTAAGGATAACTATTCACTGACAAGAGATGCTTGAGAGGTTATGCACCCAGACCACCCCACTTAAGCCAGAATGGCTGACTGTGCCAGGTAACCAGGTCATGTTGTCTTGGTGAGACAAACTCTAAAACACTCAAAACTGCCCAAGGGAATTGGACTGAAGCTAGATTTCTCCAAAATCATAGCTTTACCAGTTTCTACCTTGCCTAGTCCTGCCTCCTGCATCCTTGCTCCCAATCATCTGCTCACAGGAGAATTCCATCTCAGCCACTGCTTCTAGGGACCTGACAGGGATTGTCTCCTCCACGCCTGCTCTTGTCTAAACACTCAGTAAGTCTGAGCTCAGTTCATCATCACAACATCTAAGGTATTCTTCATCTCACCCCCACATTCATAGAGAAGAAAGGAGAGTGACAGGGCACGGCAGTGATGAGAGATTGGAGATATTCTCTGAAAAAAAGCTTAATCCACAAGCCCGCCCACCACTGCCTCTGGACCCCTCGGCCTGCAATAAGTACGGCAGGCCTGATGGATTTGCCTTTCTAAACAGAGCTCGTCATTGGAGCTTCTAGAAAAGGAAAATCCAAGCCAGAAAAGCCAGTGTTTGGGGTGATCATGACCTTTATCACCCCCATTAGTCCTTTTGGAGTTGCAGTGTTTGTGCCAGGCACCTGCTCTTTATCCTTAAAAACCTATGAATGGAATTGGGAAAGAAAAGTTGGTAGAGGGGTGGAGAAACTCTTGACTTCCCAGCTTTGTCATAAATTACGAAAGGGTATATAGAGGTGGGGGTTGGGGGGGGTGAATGCACACAAGCATGCAAACGGTTAGGAAAAAATAAGGCCTGTATTTCTTACAGTCAAGTGGTACTTTCCATGTTGAACTAAAAATAAGTGCATCCACACAACATTGCAGGGTAAAGGAGTCTTTAGTCCTAACTGAATACACAATTACGCATTCTTTCTTTCCTCCACATTAAAACCAACAGCCATGCTAACAGCAGAAGTAAGGGCATTGTAATGATTCATCCTCCCACCAAGATTTCAGATGGCAAAACAGCTCAGAAAAATCTACTTTCACTCTGGGTAAAGGACATGCAAATACTTTTGTTCTCCTACCCCCAGTCCCTCTGGGAAGTTCCCTTTCTGAGGCTGCTAAAATGCACTGATGTATAACTTACAGAATGCTGTCTTTCAAATGGTTGTTACGGAGTAAATCAAACAAGCAGGGACAGAGATTGAAGAGTTTTACTCTGTTAGAATCTGCCTTCTCTCCCTACCCCTTTCTCCAAAGATAACCTTTATTTTAATAAGAAAAATACAACATTAGATCTATACACATGCAATACTTGAGAAGCTTCTTAAAAAGGAAAATTTATGAGACTGCACTCATCAAGTTTCCAATGAGAAAAATAAACACAGTCCTGCTAGAGAAGTCTTGCCTACCTTGTATAAACAATGAAGTGATCTAGGAAATGACAAGTTGGATAATTCTACACATTGTACTAAAACTACAACCGAAATGGGGATGGATTAGGTCTAAAGAAGAAATGGTTCATTGTTTGGCATTCTTTAAATGCTAG